AAAAATTCAGTTTCATAAGCTCCAATTTAAAGTCTAAACTAGGCAGGAAAAGAATAAAGGGAAATCAAGTGCATTCTCTTTTTCTGTTTAACATCCAAACAACACAATCTATTTGAGAAATCAACTTAAACAATCAGATAACATACACTCATTCAATAACAAATTTCAGGCTATAAAACAAGAATACCAAGATTGGGTACCAGGAAAAATGAGATAATCTTTTAGAAAACTTCATCACTATTTGAAAGCTGAATAAATTAAAGCCATAAGTAAACAGAGTCCAAAAATAAAAAATAAAAAGGGTGACAATGTTAAACCTTTTAAACTTCTAGAGTCTCCACTCTGTTTCACTCACTTAGGGGAAATGAGATCTAAACTTTTCACAAGTAAAAGCGGTTGAAATAAGGAAAAAAATCTTATAAACAAGAAATAAAACTCACCAGGGAAATGAGGCTACACGAAGCAAATGACAATGAAGATGAAGAAAATGGAAAGTCGCGAGGCTTTCCTCCTTTCTGGTCATTCTTAACTTGGTACTCATCTGCAGAAACAGAGCCAAAACTTGATGGAGCAACATCATCATCTTCTTCTCCTTCATCATCTTCTTCCTCTTCTTCCTCTTCTTGAGCTACAACTTTTTTATCCTTGTCAGTCAGCATAGAAACATCATTCACTTCTGATGCATCCATATCCATCTTCTTCTCCTCTTCTTTTTCTCTCTGCCTCAACTCCTCATCCATGTCGTCAATGGCCTCTTCAAGACATAATTCAGCTTCTATCAGATCAAGTTCCTTTTCAATGAGCTTCATTTTTATCTCGCTTCCTTTCTTCTTTTCTTCACTCCATTTTTCAATTTTATCAAAAAGTGGCTTACATGCATTTTCCATTGCTAGTACAAGTCGCTTTAGTACATTTTCCTTTTTCTCAATCACTTCTCGTCCATAAAACTCATCAAAACCAAGGGGCAAGAACTCAGCCTTCCCTGGGTCCACTATCTCTCCTTCCCTCAGAGGGGGCTGCCAAAATAGTCTAACACCATATTTCTCATCATCAATATAATTGATCAGTCGTCCAGATTTTGTGTGTAAAATGAGAGGATCCTCAGTATAAATTAGCTTTGATGGGTCCGTCGGGTCGGGCTCTGGTTCCTTGTTAATTAGAACAAATTCTGGAGTCTCATCTGATGGACAAATTTCAGGATGCATTCAGCATCCTCCAAAGAAAAGAAATAAATTGCATGAAGTTAATGCATCAACTGCTCAACATAACAAAAAACTGATGACAGCAGAGCAGAACCAGATTAGTTAACCACTGGAATTTTCTATTTTTTAGGTGATAACGAAGAGGAAGAAGTCAACTAGAAAAATTTTGTTCTTCACCTTGCGAAAGAAAGGAAAAAGCTAATAGTCAAAGAGGCGAATAACAGAAAATGAAGGTCAAATGAGTTTCTGCATTGAAAAAAACACCAATTCTCTTTTTAAACTATCGAATAAAATAAACCATCAATTTGGTCAAAGGAAGAAATAATTTAACAATGCAAGAATATGCTTAATTCTGATGAGAAGGAACTGAAATGGCCCCATGAGGCTGCATCGCACAAGTGGGATAACAAACATAATTGAAATCTGACCCGAAAAAAAAAGAGAGAGGGAGAAATGAATAAGAGAGGTAGG